GTAATAACTGTTGCAATAATAATTTCATCAATTATAAGCTGTTTACATAATTTGATGTACTTAAAATATATTTAAAAAAACTATTAATTATTAAAAATATTTTAAAATGTTACTCTATGTTAAAATTACTTTTGATGTTTTAAAACTAGTAATGTAGAAATGAAAACAATCAATGAATTTTATCAAAAACATTAAATAATTGATAAAATAGTGTATAATAAAAGTTTGCTTTCTCAAACTGTATAATGTTTTTATTTTTATAAAACATATAAATTTGTTGTTTGTATTTGATATAAACAAGATGTCAAATGTAAGTGTCTGCTATTTTGTTCAATGCACAAGTTTATTGGTATGCACATATTCAGAGAAACAAAGAACTGTTTCAGCAGTGATTTCCTGAATTGCTTTTTCAATATTGAACTTTAGATTGTCCAGATTATGATGACTGTATGATGTTTGTGGTGGTACCTGAAGGATACAGTGTATAAGAAAATTCTGGAGAGGGTAAAGTTTAGAAAAAAGGAAAGAAAAAAAATTTTTTACAAATGATCCAATCAATGAAGTTTCTCAGTAATGTCACTGTTGGTACAAGCAGTATTGTTTGTCTTCATTCAGTAGCACCATAAGCTGCTGCACACAGAAGTTAATCAGGCAATTATTCTGAATCATAAAATTGTCACCACAAGTCAAATTTTTTCTGTGAAATAAAATTTGAAGTACTGTATCTGGAATTTGGGCCGTATTTTTGTTATCTGAGAATTTACATAACTATTAAGGTAAAAGTACACCTCATCAGTAAACAACAGTGGTTAAAATAGAAATGTTGTGTTTGAAGGTAATTGAAACCAACAAGAGTATTGAACATTTTTCTGTCCAATGACCTTAACTCTTGTACTACTGCAATTCAGTACAATTAAAACTTTAAACTTAATTGAAGTTTTTAGACTATTTACAAAAAATTAAATTTTTCGAGTCTATCTTTTAAATCCCTTTTTCACCACCACAGAAGTAACAGTTTTAAAAATTGCTTTTGAAGAAAACACTTCTAAAACAGGTAAAAATTGGTAGAAAAAGTCCACAAAGTTAAAAAAGATCAAGTGCCAGCCTTTTCTTTTAGGTTCTGACACTTTTTACATTAAAACCATGATGAATTCTTCATACCATATTATTTTATCCACTTTTAAACTGCTTCTGGCCCTCTAGTGGTAGTTACGAGAAATCCACATTATTTGCATACAGTTACAATTTTTATTTGTGATAACTCAGGATATATTTTTTCTTCTTAATTGAAGTTTTTAGACTATTTACAAAAAATTAAATTTTTCGAGTCTATCTTTTAAATCCCTTTTTCACCACCACAGAAGTAACAGTTTTAAAAATTGCTTTTGAAGAAAACTTCTAATGAAGAAAACACTTCTAAAACAGGTAAAAATTGGTAGAAAAAGTCCACAAAGTTACTTCTGTGGTGGTGAAAAAGGGATTTAAAAGATAGACTCGAAAAATTTAATTTTTTGTAGTCTAAAAACTTCAATTAAGAAAAAAAAATATATCCTGAGTTATCACAAATAAAAATTGTAAAACTTTAAAATTTTAGTTGCTCATTGGATGGATAGACATAAGTGCTGTATCAATCTGCTGGGATAAATGTTGAAATAATTTACAGTCGACCCCCCTATAATTACGATTTCTATAAAACTACGAAAAAATATACGTATTTTGGAAATGTTGAGTCGGATTAATGTAGAATCGATTAATTTTATGGATAAAAACCTTTCAATCAGCCGTAGTCCGTAAACTTGACACGTGTCGGGCTGTGATTGGAACGACTTGTAAGAAATCGGATTCCTAATAAATTGGAACGTATCTATATCTTATAGGGGGGTCGACTGTACATGATGATCACAGCAAATGCCATTTAACAACTTTTACAAACACTAATGTCACTGTTTTGGGTCTTCCACTTTTTTCTCTCTCTTCAACTTCTCCAGTTTCATGAAAACACATAATGAGTTTATAAATAGTACTTTTTTGAAAGATTTACTTTACTATCAGAAAATCTTGCTTGATAAATCTCAACACATTTGGCATAAAAGTTAGTGGTAAATGTGCTTCCATAAAGTCAGCACATGAAAAATGCATTCTGATGAAGCTGGAAAGAACTGCCTTTTACCTATATTTGTAAGGTTGTATAATATGACAATGACAATACAGCATTCCACAGGTTGCCAGCTTGTGCCAACTTCTTGTCATTTTGATAAAATTTTTTAATCTTTAATATCACAATAAATTATTATTATAATCTTGTAACTTTTATTACATATTGTACTATAAATTAAAATAGTAATATAAATGAATTTCTGACAAAGAGAATGTTTATATAGTTTTACTCTGCACTGAGGGCATAAGAGGACCCCTCCTTTTTTTCTGGTCCATCTTAGGTTTGTCCAAGCCCACAATGGGGGCAACCAGCTGGCAAGGGACAAACCTAATATCTAGGACAGACTACTCTCTGAAAAATTCCTAGAGATTTTTGACCAGTCAAATTTGATCCAGGTTCCCAGGAGTAATAAATTGATGTCTTAACCATCTTGGCCATATTTCTGACCAAGAATGTTTACATTATAAAAATTGTTCTATAGAAACTTGAAAAAATTAAAATAAAAAAATAAGAAAACTTGGCAACAGATTTGATAATATAATGTTCTTAATTTCTTTTTCATGCACATCTTAATGCATTACTTTTAATAATAGTATGAATAAATTTTACAATTCAATATTCCAAATAAATAAACTATTGATTCAAAAGCCAATTATTATTCCAGGCCTATTATAGTCTTCCATATTTTCATACTGAATTTGTATTTTTTCACTAGTATTTTTATTTTTTTGTATTGTATAAAAGCTTCTAAAATTGCATAAAATAAACCTAGTTTTGTCCTATTTCATAATCTAAATTTCATAAAATAAAATCTAGTTCAGTAACATAATTTGTAAAAAAGAATCACCTTATAAATTCTCTGAAAAATCTACGATGATACATTATAATGCAATAAAATCTGTTTTTAATAAATCATTTTAGAAGACAATTTTATGAACAAACACTAAAAAAATCATGAATAAACTTATTAAATTTAGACAATTTCATGGTGAACTCAGGATATATTCTTCCAATTAGAAAGTTCAGACTATGTACGAAAAATTTTTTTAATTTTTGAGTCTATCTAACAATTCATTAACACAACCACAGACTTTCTAATTGGAAGAATATATCCTGAGTTCATCATGAAATTGTCTATATGCAAATGTAAGGATGACTCGTATCAACCACCAGAGGGTTTGAATCTGATAAAATTGGATAACTACTTGATGGTAGTGTGAGAAGACTTGTTGTTTTTAATGTAAAAGACGTCAGAACCTCAAATAAAAGGCTGAAATTTTGATCATTTTTAATATTGTGAGTTTTTTACCTATTCATTATTTGTTTTTATTGAAGGTTTTCTTCAACAATGTTACGGGTACTTCTGTGGTTGTGTTAATGGATTGTTAGATAGACTCAAATATTAAAAAATTTTTTCGTACAGTCTGAACTTTCTAATTGGAATTATTAAATTTAACTTATTTCTAAAGTTAAAAAAATTTTAATATGCTAGATTAAAATTAAGTAATTAATTTTGCAAAAATATTTTTTAATTTTGCAGGAAATTTAAATATAAAAACATCATAAATTTTACAGTTTTTGGATTACAAGCAGCATAATTACTATGATGCAAATATCATAAACTGCTAACTTTGAATTATTTAAATTAATATTGTATTGTGTCTGATCCTAGAAGGACTTTTGAATACCAAAATTATTACAATTACATTACTTTTCTGTTATCTTTATTAAAAATAAAATTTTTTATTAGTGGCTGTGAATATGTTGAAATCTCAAAATATAATTATTTAAGTTTTTTAATTAAATAATTAAATCAATAGTCAAACAAAGTATATTTGCAATATTATTTATTTAAGAAAGTTTCTGAAACTATTTTACATATTTAATCCATAAAATAATTATTGACATTGATTATAAGATAAATAAAATTGAAATACATTAATTTTTGTATTTCCATTATTTGAAATGTAGTTAACATTAATTTCATTATACAAAAGAAACTGAATATGTTATATAGGTTAAAATAAATAAAAGTAACCATAAATAAAAACATTCCAATATACAAAATGGTTCTTGAAAACCTGATGTATGTTAGATATTTTAATTGTTTTATATTTGTATTTGATAAAATAATCTAGATTTGAAACCTTTAATGTTGAATCTAGACCAGGGGTCAGCAACCTATGGCATGAAGAATGATTTTTAGTGGCATTCTGATAGAAATTTAACACAAAAGTTATATTTTAATTATTAATTACACATTTAAATGAAAACCATAGTTTAGTGTAGGTCATAGTACATTAAAAACAATCTCTTGCTTGTATATTTATATTACAACACATATGTTTACACTCTATGTTACCATCTGTGTTGTGCATGCACTTCACATGTATAGTCCTTTTATAGTTCTCAGAATAAGAAGTCTGTACATGTTTTAACATCTCCTTTGAGTGTGTTCATAGTCTGGACAATATTGTCTTATAATTCTTCCACACTAACTATCTTTTTTTGCATAAACTTTGTCCTTTATGAAGCATCACAAAAAATCAAGGGGAACTTGGTATCCGTGTGAGTGACTGATCCAACAATTTGAGAATTTCTCATTGAGGAAATTATGCAACTCTACAACTCAGAGTAAATTAAAATTTTTTTTGAGTTAACAATGTAAGTTAAATGTTTTTTGATATCTGCCATAGTTTTTTTTCTTTATTGAGTTTCTTAATCAGGTGAACAAATTATGGACACCACATATATTAATTCAATTATTTACATAATATTGTAAGATAAATATATAATTATCTAATATTAAAAATAGTCGTAGTGATTATGATAAATTACCTACCTCTTTGGCTATTAATTCACCATTTTTATATGCAACAAGACCATTTTCAGCAAAAACATATTCATACTTCTTAATTACTGAAATAACAATTACATATATTGTATAAAAATCATTTAAAAATTAAACAAATTGCTAATACATATTTCACAATTCTTATTTAAAGGTACACTCAAATGTACAATGACAGAAAATTCAAAAATTTTTCTGAAATCATATATTTGATTATCATATTTACACATTAGGGGAAACAAATTATTTATTTCTTTTACTATATAAAAAAGCCACAAAATTTTCATATAACAATACATATGTGTAAATTTAATAACTATAGCTCCATATATATGCATTTAACAGATATTTGTGCATATAATGCAATTATTTCTCACTAAAGAAATAAATAAAAATAATAAAATTCTCCTCTATACCTAAATTTGTATTTGATAACATATATATAACTAATTTATTTTATATTTTATATCTAAATCATAAGACTGCAAATTGATCAATTTCTGATTCTAATTAAGTACTGTACATAAATGCTTATCAGTTGCGTTTTGATCTTAAATTATGAACACTAATCCTAGAATCACCTATCAACTTTCTGAAAATGTCACTCTACAAATGATTAAATTTTGAAAAACTTTTTTTCATTAATCACAAATCTTGATAGTTATTCTTATGCAATTCTAACAGCAATTATTTACAATTCAAGAAGGAATGAGAGAGATAAACATCACTTTATCTCAAACTATTGACAAGACTATGTCTTGTTTATAAAATCATACTGCCTCATGTTCTTATCAGCATAGAGGTATGAAGCAGTATATGTAGAGAGTTGATATTTGGCACAGAGTATTAGGTGCCCAAATCATTTACGCATAAATAAATCCAGACTCGTAGGTAGTCGGGGGACCGAGAATAGAGTCAAAATAAAATCCAAAATGATGACCCTCTTCTACAAACAGGCAAAACAGCCACCTCACCCCCAAAGTCAGGTAGGGAAAAGCTCCACCCGCAGTCATTCTAAGAAGTGAACTCTGACCTTAGGACTGAGGGTGCCTGCGCGTGACCTTCGCCCTTTGACCTCACTTTGTTCCTAAACTCTAACGAGGAGAGACATCTTTTTACTACCTTTCGATTCAACAGCCATGCCAATCTTGGATTTATATTATATATCGATGCTGTTGTAAATATCACTCTGCAGATACAAATTATGTAAATTATCAGTTTTTTAGTAAATTTTTAATGAAAGAACAAAGGACATAACACGTGGTTGAGGTCACTGTGGACATCAGGGACAAGGTAGGAGAGACATTTTTTCACTTCACGTTAATTGACCTTTCGAGTCAACAGCCGTGCGATCTTGGATTTATATTATATATTGACGCTATTGTAAATATCACGCTGCCGATACAAATTAAGTAAATTATCAGTTTCTTAGTAAATTTTTACTGACAGAACATTCATTGAAAATCGCTCATGGTCGAGGCAGGCGAAGTTTTAATGATCACGCCCAAAAGCAGCGATATCAAAGAAGATAGGAGAATGAGAACGAGACCTGCCTTGACCATCAAAGTGATTCCATCTCCGAGACGTAGTCTTGTCCCAAATATGGTTTGCCATTTTACTTGTTTTTTTTATAGTTGTAAGAAGAAAGCAGAATTTAAAAAGTGTGAAAGGTCTTGGATCTGTGGTAAAAAGCTTGGAAGAAGTTATTAACAATAAGAACTCAGAAAGATTCTCAACACTCAACAGCATGAAAAATGGTTACAGAATTTTTATAATAAAAATATGTTATTATTTAATTTCATAATTTCATAGTTATAATCTATAAAAATAATATTAAATTAAAAAAAAATAACTGATTATATAAATGTTCCAGCAATAAACATTTCATCTACTTTTGCATTTAAAGCATTCCTGAATGTTTATTTTAATTTGTTTTATGCTTTTTTTTGCATAACTTGGTTACATTGACCTTAACCTTTAATGATAGCATGAAACTTCTAAAGTATTTGGAAATTAGTATTTCATTTGTTTTATCTCCAGTAAAACAGTATTTGATGGGTTATTCAAGAATCTATTATACCTTAGTAAAAGTAATACTATAGTTAATTTTTTACATACATTTTTAATCTAAATACTCTAAACTTTTAAGCCATTTAATTGTCCTTCAGGAAGACTTCAAAGCATTAAACTTTGTTTTTTCCCCCTTTTCTTTTCATAATATAGAGATATAGCTAAATAAGTATAAATCTGTAAATTTTCTTTAAGCTTTCATTTAATTCTAATGTATCATATGTAAATTATATATGAGTGTTTATATATTTAAATACAAATTTTACAGGCATTAAAATAATTTTCTGTTCAAATTATGCTTCAAATAAATTTGTTTATTTACGATTATATAGAATTATAAATAACATTATCTCCTTTAATTTAAAAATTTGAATCAAATCCTAAGAATCTGTCGAAATTTTGGTAGTCTGGCTTGAATGTGTCAGTTCAGGACCATGTAATAATTCCATTGTAATCTGATTAAATCTTTGATAAGAATATTGAAAAATTATATTAATACTCATAATGATAAATAGCTTATAACCACAGAAAATTTCCCAGTAAAGAAACTATTGCTAAAATTTCTATCTTAATGTCAAAATATTTATTACATATTATTATAAATGTTTTTTAAAGTATTTCTTTTTGAAATTAATTTCTATAAAAATATTCTCTCTGATAAACATTTCACAAGATAAAAATATGTTAACAAAAAATGTATAAATAATAGCATTATTAATATGATTTGCATATAACAAATGTCTACATTTAAAGAACAAATCAATGTAAATATCTCTTTATAAAAATGTCATATTATATTTGTAAACATATGTACGTACATACTGATTTGTTCATTAAATATTAATTAAAATTAAATATATTCATTGATTTTTTCAGCCTAATATATTGTGTGTCCATTTAATAAGTTACAAAAAGTCTAATTCCGAATAAATATGCTTTAACGTATAATACTAAATAAAAAATATAGTACATAAAGTGAAATTAATAACTTTATTCTATCACAAATAAGACAATGCTAATAATTTTCAATGAGTTAGTTTATTATTTGATAAAATGTTTCTTGAGAACTTATATCTCATCATCAGATTGTAATAACAAGGCTAAGATTGGTCTGACAATGAGATCCTTTTAACTAATTCATTAAAAATTATTAGCATTGTGTCTTATTGATATAAAAATGGAGTCATATTTTACTACTGAAATCTATATATTGTTAAGTACAAGAGGCTTCTTGTACTTAACAATATATAGATTACATGTTTCTTTCTTTCTAAACTTGTAAATGTTTTGAGTAAACAAAATATGCTTAATTTAATAGATTAATTAATTAACTAACACAAAATTAATATTTATTAATTAAATTTTATTTTTATTTAATAAATAAATTTATATTAGAATAATTAGCTTATTGTAGGGCAATTTTTTCTGTTTTTCATGTATTTTCTATTTAACCTTTATCTGATCTTTACAGTTGTAATATCAGAGTATAAAAAGAATGGCACATCATTCAAAGACCTTTGATCATGTTTTTATATAAATTTTTAAATTATACTTTGTATAATATATCCTTGTAAGAATTTCTGCTGTATAACCTCCGTTAAATGTCCAAATTAAATAATTATATAAACAATCTCTTTAAAATACACACTTTGTTTGATAAAACTAGATTCAGCTGTATCTTCAAGGATGTCATAAGTAAAAGTTCTAGTTAAATAAAGAAAAATGATTACCAATGATTTTACAATTATGTTTGCCAAAAATGGTCAAAAATCATTGTAGAAATCAGTAATTTTTCTGTAATGAATTTTTTATATTTTTATATGAAATACGTAAAATTAATTTAACCTCTATGTTTTTTGATATAGTTTTAAGATCTGTTCAGGGTCTGGTGAATATAAATAAACAAATGCTTGTTTTTATAATGGCAAAACAGATGATAAATGATTTTAAGAAAAGCAATTATTAATTTTAATGCATATAAAAATATTAGTTATTTATTAGCAGTGTGTTAGTGTTTTAAATCAGAGACAAATCTATGAAATATTATTATAAATTTATCATTAATTCATTATACTGTTTAAATTAAATATTATATCAGACTGTCATTAAACACAAAAAAGAAATATATATATTTTGCCATAAATGATATTTATTAGAATGATTTTATAATAAATATTATCTTCTAATAGATATATATGTATATGTAAAAAATAATTGTTCTGATAGATAAAAAATAAAAGTATTTATATTTTAAGGCAAAATTATAAATAGGTGTTATATTTTGTTTATAGAAATTTAACTGCTAGAATTATTTTTGTTCTTGCTTTATCTTTCAGCACACTTCTACCAACCTGCAGTTTTTATTCTTGTAAATGAAAGCAATTCCTCAATCTTCCTGAGAAAAAGCATTTGCTTAGATTTTATTCATCAAGCCCATTGACTGAAAAATAATTGTATCATTAAATAATAATAATAATAATAATAATGGTTTATATATTGAATATTCACACAAACATTTATTGATCATCTTTTCATATATTATAAAATTTTAAATGTGATAATTTCTTAGATATTATGGCTTGCAAGATTACAGTGTAAGTTCTTATTGTTGACATAACACTTCACCATATAACAGTGTATAAATATGACAATCATTTTCAGATATTACAATGTTTATTTTAAAAATATAAGAAAAAAAAACAAACATTTAATTAAATTTTTATAAAACCATAGGTTATGAAAATTAAATCCAGTTCTTATTTAATCATCATAGTTTGTTTGAAACTGACTAATTAGTTTTGTATTTAAAACATTATAAATTTATAATTAGAATTATAGAAATTCTTTCCTCAATAAGCACTATAGTAAATTTATTCAAAATACTAAACAAATATCCATTACACTTATATTTATAATAGCCTATTGAAAAAAACAAAAGAACCCTAATTTCTAATATGGTTTAGATGTTTTAATTTCTATAATATTGATTTCTTTTGTACATGCTGAATATACAGCGTATCCGAGAAAGATCTTTATCATTCTAAACATTAATAACAAAAACAGATGAAATGAAATGCAGTTTGCTGCAAAAGAATGAAGAAATCTAAGAGTTTTTTCTGGCATCAATTTCCTGAGATAGATGGCACTAGTTGCTTGCCAGTTGTGATAAGGACCCATACCTTGGCCTCCGCGATCACCCGACATAACTTCCACTGGATTTCTTTTTTTGGGGTTATGTTAAAGACAGGGTTTATCAAACCCGTTTCTGATATATCTGTTTTAAAGGAAAGGATACAATTAGCAATCCTCACTGTTACACCGCAAATGTTAAAAAACACTGAGGGAAATCGAGTACATACTCGACATTGTTCGTGCTACTAACAGAGCTCACGTACAGCTACATTGAAGGTACTGTAAAAAAAACTCTTAGATTTCTTCATTGTATAGCAGCAAACTGCATTTCATTTCACCCATTAGTATTTTTGGTATTAATGTTTAGAATGATAAAGATCTTTCTCGAACACGCTGTATTTAAATATTAAGAAATAATAAAAAGAAGAAATTTTTTTTGCATTTTATGATTTAGATAAGCCTTTTTATGCTGTAATTTGTTATTTAAAATGTATAAAATAATAATTGTGGTATTAAAGAAAATCAGTAATTCAAATTTATTTAAGCCTTGATTATATTAAATGCTTTTATCTGATTTTATATATTCTACAGCATTTTAATAAACAAAAATCTGTATTTGAAATGACAATCTTAACATATAAACTTTCATATAAATCTTGTATGTCAACACAAAAAAACAAGATTCACATATGAAAAAAAATTAGCATGAAATAAATATCAATGTTATTTAATTACAGATTCATTTATTACATATTTTATGAAAATATTAACTAGGTATACTTAAGAATAAAAAAAAAAACCAAAAAATGTTTGGCTAAAGCTAGAATAATACTTTTCTACATAGTTAAGGAATTTGCTATGGCCTTTTTTTATTTAAAAATGTAAGTAACAGTTTCTATTTAAAAAACTGATTAGTCTCTGATAAAAAAAAAAACATTTATAAACTAAAAATTATATAAATATAATCCATTCCTTCTTTTATATTGATTTTGTCTGGATCTTGATTTTCTTACACATTTTAATATATTTAAAAAGTTATAAAAAAAAACTATTTTCAGCTATAACATCTTAAATCTTCATTAAGCTCACCATCCTTTTTTAATATGTTGATAACTTTCAAAACATAAGAAACTACTTTAAAAAACTAAAACTATAATTCACTTTCATTTTAGGAACATAAATTTGGTCAAATTAACAGCTTTTATTTAATAAAAAATTAATTTAGCATTATTTTTAAAATTATAATTTCACATATCGAACATTTCCCTTTTCCTTAGATTATAATCTACATTTACATGAATTTGAGTACAATTATATTTTTTCCTCTCACTATTGGATGTAATCATAATTCTATAAAATAATATTTGATTTAAATACATTTTTTATTGACAATCTAAGTTGTACTACACCAACAACTTTCAACGCACCAAAAACAAAAAGTTTTTGACTTCTTAAAGATTTAGAAATTGTTATATTGAAATGTAGTCTTTGTTCCTTGAAAAGCATTTTTTTTATTTTTCAAAATGTTCTCAAACTATCTCAAAAAGAAGTGCAAGTGCAGTGTACATTTTTTTAATATTATGAAAGAACATTTTATAATATATATAAATCAATAAAATATAAATTTTTTAAAATTTTACTTACCATCCATGCCACCCATCTGTTCAGCAATTTTAGATATATCTGAACCTCCAACTAAACCAATTACAACTTTATCTTTTAATTTTTGTAAAAAAGCTTCCATTGTTGGTGTAATAATCTAAATAATAATAAAAAAAATATATTAAATTAAACAATAAATCCAATTTATTAACATGCAATGAAAAATAGTATCAGAAGAATACAGAATCATGATTTTTCCAAGTTACCTTAAAAATTTTTGTAATTTAAGATAAAAATAAGCAATTAATTATTACAACTTAATAATGTATGTGTGTGTGTTTAAATTATGCATTTTGAAAACAATAAGCACAATTTTAGTTTATTTAATTTTCAAATTTGATGATAAATAATTCATAATTGAAAAATTTAATTTACAGTACAAACCTATATAGTGTGTATTAGATTTTTATATTTTTCTTTATAAATTAATTCTGATTCTATAATAATTTTTTATAAAATAAAAACTAAATTAACAATCTTATAAATTATATGACAAATTACAGTTCCTCACAGTAATATATTATGATCTACAATAGTATTGCAGTACAGTAAAGCATCGATTATCCGATTCAATTGGGGACTCAGGTTGGTCGGATAACCGAAAAGAAGGAAAAAAAATACATTATTAGTATAGTATATTAGGATATTAGTATATCCCATGTAATTAGTATATTAGTATATAGCTATTAACCAACTTTGCATTGAATTTTCGTCGATGTTAAGCCTAACAATTTTTTTTTTAAATAAAAATTGTCGCTACTGTATCATTAAAAATTATTTTATTGCTCACAAAACAAACAACCACTCATAATTAGAAAATTAAGTCTTGTTTAAATACTGGCCTCCCTTCAATGGTCGAGCCGTTGATGCCAGCTAAAACACGAAAAAATTTAACAAAAATAATATTAAAGTAGCCAAGACATAGCCAAATATTGTAATGCCACATCACTAGCGGACATTTGAAATTTGCCGACTAGAATGGTCGGTTAACCAATGTGACGGTTAATCGGGGGTTGGATAACTGATGCTCTACTGTATATTGAAAAGAATACTTAAAATTTAATAACTGAATTTTTTATTTTTAATGAACTTTACAATTAAAATTTTGCAAGACCATGAAAATTTTTAGTACAACTTATTAGTATATCAGTGTCAAATTATTCTTTCTTATAATCCAGATTATTTTTAGGTAAATGCCATAAAGTTAAAACAAAAACTTAAAAATTTTAATTAATTTTCTGATCTTTACTTTATTATTCAAAAATGATATTATAAAAACTAAATCTTAAATTGGATAAAACAAATCAAAATAGAGTATTTTTATATTCTAATTATTAAAATGATTCTAAATTAACAATCCTATAATTTTTGTATTATTGTTCTATATTTGATTTCCTTAACCTGAGAAAGGCTTAAAATTTGCTATTGATAATTTAAAAATATTGTTATTGCTATACTGTTACATTAATACTTGTATATTTTATTTAAAATTTTAAATTTATTTCAAATTTCTAGGCTATATATTCATCAGTTTAAGTTATGTTTGTTCTAAAATGAGTTGTTCTGATGTAGATACTAAGGACAGCCTAAAATAAAGTCAAAAACATTTTATGAATAAACAATAAACATATATAAACATCTCTAAGCCTGACAGTTATATTAAAGCCAAATGATTGCTGGATTACTCAGTATTTAATAATTAATGGTAGCAGTAATATATCCCAATTTAATCTGACAATCAGTTGGTTTTAAACAATAAAAATTTTTTGATGTAGTTATTATTTTGACAAATATAACATGAATCTAAAGAATCTCCTTAAATGCTCCTTTGACTACATAACAAATTTTCCTGTAGCCACCTAATTTTAAACTTGGTCATAATTACTGAACATCAAATTTCTTTTGACTGCTGTTTATATATAAATATTATAAAGTCTCTGTAAATCCGCACTAAAAATATAAAAAGTTACTAAATACACTTGATATGAAAGTGCTAATGGAATGTGAATCCAAGCTGTGTACCTAAATGGTAATGAAAAACTAAAATATTAATTGTTATATTGGTAGTTTTACTCGCATAAGGTTTATTATAATATTTATATTTTGTAGTACTGAAGAGGATTCTTTAATAGGACCGAAATGCATATACAGTGATTAAATAAAGAGAAGTAATTAGCTATCTGCTGTGTGTTGGTCTACAGCTAAACCTAAAATTTATATATTTTTAGTGTGGATTTACAGAGACTTTATAATATTTACTGAACATCATGTTTTTTAATTCCAGTCAGGGAGTGACAGCAGATGATTTGAAGATATAGTATTAAAATCTTCATTAAAACAAGACCAATGATACACTATTAAAAAAAATACACATGCATAATAAAACTGTACATAGACATGAATCTTCTACTGTAAGATCTGGCATCACTAAACCGATTAAAACAGTGCTAAAAATCTTGACAAAGGTAAGTTGAGATTGTTTTTAATGGTACTATTTTAATGAAGATTTTTGAAGTTTGTTTTCAAGTCATCTGCTAAAGTTTCTAACTATAATTAAAAAAACAAGCAAATTTGTTTGTATGGTCTTCATTACTTAAAAACAGATATTAAATGCATAAAGGCAAGTTAGTTGTGATAACTGTTAATGACTATTAAATAATAAACATAATGGAAAAAATAATTCATGTTGATGCTCACATTGCAGAAATCTCCATCCAATTAATAAACACACAAAAAGAATGCTTGTTTATCATGATTTCAACACTAACTGAAAATAATATTTCTAGACAAAGTTGAGTAGAAAGATCTAAGCCCAAAATGTCAAAAATGTGATTAAAAATGCAAAAAAGATTCCCAACATCATGACTAATTTTGAATTAATAATGTGATCAGATGAATTTGATTTCAAATAAAAGTAACTCTCAAGTAATTATTGATCACAGCTGATGTCACAGCCAGAAATATTTAGTAGTCATGTGCACTGCAATCTTTGCATAATTTTTCAAATGAGCATGAGCCCAAAGATTAAGAACCATTGATCTACAATATCCAATATATCTTTATGATGTCTTTTATTTCATTTCACTTTTTATTAATATATTTTTCAACTGAAATTCTAATATATCTACAATAATTATGCAACAATTACAATGATCTTCCCTTTAAATAATGTCATTTTAATTCACTAAAATGAATTTCCATTCTTAGTATACAGTAAGATAATTATAAAACATTTTTCAAAATCCNATCCAACTGAATCCTAAAACTAGAATGTATCAGCATTACATAGTTCTAACACTGTTGTATAAAATGATGTGATGATGGTGTAAAATGTTCCCGTTAACATGGTCTAACAAACAGTATTCAATTCCTTTCCAACAATAACAAATAGTCACTGACCTTGGTCAATCTAGATTGAAATGCTCGTGATGAACATGAAATGAGCAATTATTTTATTGTGACATTGTCACAATGCTGGGTTGCAATTTTTAATAATATTTTTAAAATTTATTTAATTTAAAATATAAAATGCTCTCCCCCTTCAAATTAGCAGTGTCTTGCCTCTGTACATCACACTTTTCATTTAGCAATCAAGTTGTGCCAGTCATCTAATGCCTTTCAGGGGAAATTTTCGAATTGAAATAACATAACTTCTAGTTTACATTGGAAGTTCGCACACAGTTAATCAGGGCCTCCTGCCCCTAAGGTTTCCATATCTGGTCTCATTTTTCATCTATCTAACTCCATTCTCAAGATTAAGGAAAGAAGGATGGATGACAGTGGGAATTTATAGGTCTACAAATTTCTTCAAATAGTCAGTTTGAAATTTGTTCTATTTTATTTTATTTTTACACATACATTTTTGATATATTTCATCATTTGAAACCCATATCACTTTATGTTTGAACTTTAAAGCTACTCTATATGAAACATTTTATTGTCAGCCTTGCATGATCATACCAGATGGATCAGACAAACTGTTATATTTGGACAGCAAGTTTGACATCTTTTCAAAAGACCGATGAACTGGAGCATTTTGTTTTCAAGCAAGACAATAGACAAATTATTGCATGTAGACAGTCAACCATCTTACCTGTCATCTTTCACTCAGTATTGAATCCTTTCTTGATGGTGTCAGATGAGTACTTATCTTGCACTGTTTTTCATCACCCAATGTTTGAAGTTCAGATTATTGATCTATATGAAGACATTGGTCTTGTGATTCATTTTACTGAACTTATAAAAAATTATACTATAATTTTCCTTCCTGCAGCAAGTTAAATCAAAGAATTAATGAGCAAGATAAGAAAATAAACCAACCATATGCTGCTCTTGTTAATAAATGGAGAGAAGAGGCTCAAGAGGCCAAAAAGTCAATTCTTTCGAACAATTTACTGTAAAGAGTTGACAAAAGTAAAAAAAAATGTCCATATGTTGTTAAAGTTGCAGTGAGTTGCTCATGGAGAATGATTGCTCTTTTCATAGTAGCATCTGTTTTTTATTTCTGGCATTACTAAACATCAATAATTTGTAATGTGTGTCCATAAATAAATAATTATGACAATCTTCTGGTTCCTGTCGTAATTCATATAGCAAATATACAAGAATTTATGAATGTCTTTATCTTTTGAGATCACCATTGAGCAAAGAATAACTTTTTTTTCCAACTTTACTACTCAATATGAAATAATTATTTGCATATATGTACTAGATAAAACTAAGGTATCTCACATACAAAACCAAAATTCCAGCAAAAGTAGCATAAAATTTAATCAGAAACTAAGTTTTTTGACAGCATTTAGCAATCATCATTGTTAATAATAATTTATCTATGGTATCTCTGGAAAAGACTGAGCAAAAGAATGAATAGTTTGGTTGCATATTTTGCACCAGTTTTATCTATCAGTATTATTTGTTCATGCAGGACTGATGAAAAAACATTATATATAAACCAGCCTTTATGGAACATATGGGCTGTTATAAAACCAAATTTATTATAATAATAAAATTAATAATAATTTTTATGTATAGTACATTACAATTTATCTAAATATATTGTTTATGATATATTCCCAAAATAAAATAACTATTCAAAACAATAATATAATTTTTAGGAATAAAAGATATTATAAACATATCTAGAATATTTAATACTAGTAGCCCGGGCTGCCCCCTAGTGGGCGTTCTAGTCATTCCGCAGTATAAATAATAAATTCATATCAATGGGAAATGTTTTCCCCTTTTCATGGGGGAATTCCNAATTTTTAGGAATAAAAGATATTATAAACATATCTAGAATATTTAATACTAGTAGCCCGGGCTGCCCCCTAGTGGGCGTTCTAGTCATTCCGCAGTATAAATAATAAATTCATATCAATGGGAAATGTTTTCCCCTTTTCATGGGGGAATTCCCCTTAACCCTCTTCCCTACGAGAAAGGCGTTCTAGCAGCAGCTGTGTCATTCTGTAGTATAAATAATAAATTCATATCAATGGGAAATGTTTTCCCCTTTTCATGGGGGAATTCCCCTCACCCCGTGGTGGGAAATTTATTCCCCCCATGGGGGGAATAAATTTCCCATGAGGTTAAGGATTACCCTCCTAAGGTTCTAGCAGCAGCAGTGTCATTCCATAGTATAAATAATAAATTCCTATTACAAATAATAATAATTTATTGTTAATTTAAAATCATTGCTAAGGCGCCCTTAGTAGGCATTTTAGGCATACTGTTACAGATACACTGACATGCGATCAATGGCTTATATTATTAGATTACAAACAAAAACACAAAATTATACACATATAGTATTTTACTACAACCCTTGATTGCGTACAACTTACAGGATCATGGTCAAACAATTAAATACCTGTTTAACATATAAATGTAAACCAACTATATTCTTACAGTAATTAAGGGTTCTTTTTGGTAAATCTTTCCCCTCTGTGTGAGAGCTTAATTAAGAGTTATAAAATCCAACTGAATCCTAAAACTAGAATGTATCAGCATTACATAGTTCTAACACTGTTGTATAAAATGATGTGATGATGGTGTAAAATGTTCCCGTTAACACGGTCTAACAAACAGTATTCAATTCCTTTCCAACAATAACAAATAGTCACTGACCTTGGTCAATCTAGATTGAAATGCTCGGTGTGAACAGGGTATTACGGAGCAGCACCATTTAGTAAATTGTGTGGCCTGAATTTGAGGGAGCTACAGTGGGTGATCAGTTAATGAACAAAATCCATTCCAAGACTTTGTTTGCTATCTGAATTGTTCATTAACCANTTTGATGAAGTTTATACATTAAATTCCTTATCTTTAAAAGGTTTAAAAGCATCTGCCATTAAGGAAGACACTAAAATTATTCAATAATATATTATATTTTCTCAATAAAGTAGGAAATATTAAAAAGAAATTTAAAAACTTTGATGCACGATCTATATAAAAATTTAAGGATAAAGAAAATTATACACAGGATTTAGAATAATTCTAGGAGTTTGAAAATCTAGTTTTAAATTTAAAAATTCAACAAGTGATTCGAAAATTGTTGGTATTCTTATATAAAGTTGTTTTGTTTCTGTTCCATAACTCTTTCTTTAAAATTCATTCGATTTTTAAAATTATTTGATTCTGTCTCTGATAAATCGTAATAATCTATCTATCTATAGCCTATATATAAATGGACGTGTGTGTCCCTATGTTTCACTTTTCTGCAAAAACTACACATCGCACGTGAATGGTGTTTGTATGTGGTAGTAGCCCCAAGTCTCCATTCGTGGATAGGGGTAGTTGCGTCTCGATAGCTATAAGGGTGCGGGAGATATGAGGCTGAAAGTAGTTGAAAGTGGCTTTCTATTTCGAATGTTTTGTTCGAATTAAATTCGAACATATAATTCGAATATTGGCTCGATTATAAAACGATTGTAAACGTTCCAGAAACGTTGAAAATAGTTCGTTTGACTAAACGTAAAAATTTTCTAATTAGCCTGAAAACGGGGATCCTAATTCTTGCATGCTGTGAAAACGGGAAAGATTAGCTATAATGTAATTATCTTAATCTTCACTATCGGTACTTTTTGCTCAGCGAAGCGGGTCCTTGCAGCTAGATGGTAGGTTACTTAGAAAAACAGTCTTTTATATATAAAAATCTATATTACATACAAATAAAAACCCAGCGAAGCGGGTCCTTACAGCTAATGTAATAATAAAAATACAAATATACACAGTCTTGCATTTTTACTAGTCATGTTTTTTCCGTTTGTAGGGGTTAAAGAATCAATCTAATGTCAATTGCTTTTCTCTCCAGGATTTTTCAGAAGTAATTATTTATAATAGTATTGCCAAGCCTATTAACTTCAACCTGGTTTGGATGCCATTCTAAGAACATTATTCTGACATCCTCTCACTTCTTCAAAAGATCTTTAATAGCAGATATTGGCATTAATTCTCAGAAGAAAACATATCTCGCCGAGTTTCTTCGTGTTCCTCATTCAAGAGTTCTTGGCGTTCTTCTGTCGTCAGATTAGTTTCAGGTTCCATTATGAACTCTTCAGTGTTCTTTATTTCTCAGATGCGATTTTTGTTACACGTTTAGTTGTTTGAGTCTTCTTGATTATAGAGTATCTTTCTTAGATAAGATTGAACTGAGGTCTACTGTACACCTGTTCAAGCCATACTGCCCAGCAACATCAGATGACATCAACCTACTCTCTACCTTTGCTATTATACTCTCATCTTTTGAAAATAAAAACCCACGCAAAACTTAACGAGTGCCTACCCAAAAGTCTTGCGAATACTATAAAAAAATCGTTTCTGTCAGAAAAATAAAAGGCTGGAATTACAAACGAGAGTTTCAAAGTTCGGAGGAATACTATCCGATCAGTATATACTGAGGTGAGTGTCAATGTTGAAGTCTCCCATGCTCTGAAAAGTTTCGAATTGTTGCCTGAAGACAAGGGAAGACCAATCAGTATTCATTATTTTACATCACTTCTTGTGTTTGTTCTGTGAGGTGTTCAGTGTCTGAACATAAAAATCTTTCGTGGAAGTGTTCGTTATCTGATTTGTTCATTAACCGATCACCCACTGTATATCTCAGTGCCACCTAGATCATATTTCAACTCACACTTGTTGCTGAGATTCTGAATGTGCCACCATTGGGACTACCAAGGTAAACTACTACCGCTTATAATGCCAGAAAGTAGGCTGTAGGCTAATACAGTGGAACCCCGGTTAACGAACGTCCTGGTTAACGAACTTTTATTTTGCAAAAATTTTGTCTCGGATAACGAACGTAACATTATTTTGTGTCAAATTTTAGTTGGTGTTTAGTAGGCATGTGCGAGTTAAGCATTGCTTTTCCAAGTGTTTGTGCTATACTTTTTTTTTCAGTTTTGTGATTTATATATTTAATCAATATGGCATCAAAGAAAGAAAAAAGTCATAGTGGCAATAGAAAACGACAACGCAATATGAACGACAATGCGCTATCGCATTTGAGAAAAATTTTGATTAAAAGAGTACAGTCGACCCCCCTATAATTACGGTCCCTGTAGTTACGATTCCTATAAAACTACGAAAAAATTGCTACCGGTATCCGTAAAAAATAGTAAAAGTTCCCTATAAACACCTCAAACGTCATCGGGAAGCCGAACTACTTTCCCGCCGTCCGTAGCGCCACGCTACGGAGAGATTTCTATCGTCTGGACAGTATTATATAAATTATATATAAATTAGGTACTGTACATATAATTATATATTAATTATATATAAATTAGGTACTGTATATATAATTATATATTAACTTATTGTAACTTTGTTATAATTAAATATATAATTTCCGCCGTCTAGCGTGGCGCCACGCTACGGAGATTTTTACGCTAACTATCGTCTGTCAGTATGTAAATTAGGTACCGTAAGTCTAATACAGTACTGTAATTTTATACATTTCTTGTGAAAGAAACATTTCTTATTCAACGGCGATTAAAATTATTTATATTAATGATGTCTCCGAAGTTCTACGAAGTTTTCACAGAAAAATAAGTTGTTAGAAATCGGCCGCTCTTTGCTGAGCTGTTCCGCGACGAAAACAATGTTGAGCAATGGCAATGTCGAATGGTGACACTCGGTAAGTAATCCTACAATTTTTTGTTTATAGCGTAGTTTATACGGATTATTCCCAAAAAATATATACGTATTTTGGAAATGTTGAGTCGGATTAGTCTAGAATCGATTAATTTTATGGAAGAAAATCTTTCAAACAGCCGTAGTCCGTAAACTTGATACGTGTCGGGTTGTGATTGGAAGGATTCGTAAGAAAGAGGATTCCTAGAGAATGGAACGTATCTCTATCTTATAGGGGGGTCGACTGTAATACAATCAACTTTAGATCAATTTCTTGTTCCTTACGGAAAGAGTTTGTTTCTTTGTTAAGTTATGGCAACGCAACACTTGGGTGATCTGACTACGGGAATGCTTTCTGGGATGTGTTTTTAAGGGAAACTGGCCCCTATTTAGGCGTTACAGACGTGGAGAAATCCCGGAAAACTCCACGTGGCCAGCCCGTCTGAGCGAGGTGCGAACCCACAAACGAACTCCCCGTGTTCAATGTACGAAGACCACTGGTGGGATTTTTACCGAAAGAGACTTCGACTCGAAGAATCTTTTGATGAAGTGCTACCCGTTATTTTTTTGGAGGGGATTCCCCTTCTAAGCATTAAGGTTCGTATATCTCCACTTTTCTGCCACCAACTACAACAAACGAAGGTATGTACAGTGCTATTTTATTAAACAAAGCTTACATGTTTGTGGCTGTAATGATAGATATAAGTTTTCCTACATTTTCATCAAAGAAAATTACTGTATATTACAAATAAAATGACAAAAATTTTGGAGACTAGGACGGATTAATTGCATTTGCATTAATTTCTATGGGAAAAATTGCTTCGGTTAACGAACAATTCAGTTAACGAACGGAGTCGCGGAACTGATTAAGTTCGTTAACCGGGGTTCCACTGTATCAGGCACTATAGGGATGATTCCTTTGACTTTCTCACCTACAAGCATGCTCTACAACTCTGTTAAGATCCAACAGTGTCATTAGCTGACTCAACATTTCTGGAGCGGTTGAGTATTTTTCCGCTGAACGTCCTCTACAGTAACTCTCTTTTGGAACATGTTAGGTGTTTTGATGTCACATTTGGTAGCATCTTTCTCTTATGTTACCTATCGCTATGCTCTACAGCTTGCTTCCAGACTCAATACACTAAATTTGTCCATGATTTGAACCTGCTACCTAACAGCTACTGATTTGCTCAGTTACAACAGCTGAGTCTGCTGAACGCAGCCATTAACATATACAGTCTTCCCACTTGACACCATGGGAAAACTACTGTGATGGTCCAAACACTCCTAAATCTCATCACCCTCTTTACTTAAGCCCAAATAATCTTTTGTGTTTTTCTGTTTCATTATTTCAAACTCTCGGATCAATAAATATACACTTTAGTTAATAATATTGCTTTTATCACCCACCCCTGAAAAGATCGAGCAATGTCAGGCACACGCAGCAACTTATATTGATTTCAACTTAAATAAACAATTTCGTAAAAAACATTAAATTTTATACCTGCCGAGGCTTCGTTATCGTTCCATCGACGTCTAACAGGCATATAGTCGACGAATCTCTCTCCATTTTTATAAATTACAACAAAAAATCGTTCCCCACTTCGTTCAGTTTCGTTAAAATATCAAAATGGCGGAAAAAAAGCAGACGATGACGACTACGGCTCCCTCTAGTACACGTCGACTTGATCGTTACGAAAGTCGACAACGTATTAACTAATCATTTACGAAATATTTTATAAATTTAAATAAAAGTTATTAATAAGTTTTAATAGAAAAATAATCTGGCACTATACGTACGTACGTCATCACCAGACGATGGCCGACAACTGTCATGGCGGCGAGTCTGACATCAACAGAACCGGGTTTAACTCTATATTGGGCACTTTTTACAGATAAACTTTGCTGTTTAACAACAATCTGTGTTATTTTCGTCACACTTGGAACTTTTATAATATTTGAGTAAGGAGTTTTATTTAAATACGCCTTTAATATGGATATTTTAATTTTAATTCAAACATTAATGCATTGTTTATCTAATTAACTTCATTAGATAAGATTTAAGATTATAAAAGTTTTATATAATGATTTATAAATAAAATTAAAGTTTAAACGTTAAGATAAGTTACACACAATATAATGGATAATAAACGTGACTAAGCAGTCTAAAAATTGTTTAAATTGCATAATCAATTGAATAGTAAATATATTTTTTTTACAGAAAGTGTATGTAATTGATCTTGTATCAATGAAATAATATATGAATGGTTTTTATTACTCTAAGATTTTCTGCATGTATTTATTATGATTGAAGTTTTGACTGTTGTTCTGAGGATACGTGTTCCGGGTTCGAGTCCGGGTTGAAATTCCGAAATTTTCTCGAAGCAGTACACTTGTCCATCTCTTACTGTCTTACTGTACCTTTCTTTCTTTCTGTCTGGTTTATATAGAAATTCCAGCCAATAAGGCTATTTTTTCTGCAGTGCCACCATCTGGTGGCTACTGAAAGTGGCCTGTTTGGCATATGTATGTTTCTAAAGCTGCCATATGCTGTTTGGGAGACATGGCAGCATGTGGCTAGTAGACGGCCGCAAGATTGCGGACTAAGGTTAGATTGATGGACAGGGCCGAGTTAAGGGTTTGGCCAAGCCTATCATGGTGAGGGCATTTTAGCTAAAATAATAAATGGTTTCTGTTGCAGTGCAATGGGGGCATGCTGGTGAGATGTGGAGGTGACGAGTACAGAAAGTCATTTAACTTGGCTGTTTCCATGCATAAACAGGCTAGCAGAGCCTTGCTGTACCTATTGTAGGCTCAGCTGTACCTGTGATGGCATACTCTTGATAAGAGAAGAAAAAGCAAACACTTATACTAATTTGCAGATTTTAATTTTCGTTTCTGTTTTTTGTTGTTATACTTCAAATTTTTTTTCTTTATTTTTGACTCTTTTTCACTCTGTAGGCACTTCTTTGTCTTAGCTTTTCCCCATGTTTTTATGGGGTTGGCATTCCCGTCTTTAATCTGTCTTCTCCATTTCTCTCTATCTGAGACATTTTTTCTCCCAAATCCTCTGCCATCTTGGCTTCAGTAGGCACTAAGAAAGCCTTTTTTAATCATATCCGTCATGGATCGGGGCTGGCTAGGAGGTGAGAGACAAGATTCGACATACCTAGGATGAACTGTCCCCTGAGAAGTTTAGGAGATTACTTGTTTGGATTTGATTTTGGGTCCTCATTGCTGCAGGCTGTAATAGCCAGAACAGTAGGCTATTACCTTAACTGCGAAGTCAGTTAAGGTACTAGCCTATTTTTCTGGTTATTTTATACTTCATATATTATAAACTTTCGTATGCATTCAGCTTATTGGTAGAGTATATTTAAGACTTTTTCTTACTCTATTAGCCTTTATTATATTGCATTTTTCAGACTTTTTAAATTTCATTCATTTTTAATCACTACACCTAAAACCAATATCCAGCCAGAATTACAAAACTCTACAAAAGCAAATGTTGTCACCTGTGTTAAACAGTCATCATTAAAAGATGATGGGGATGAAGAGGGGAGAGTATTCCCTTCCTTCCTCTTACAGCATCCCCTTTAAGCATGTGGACAGCAATGATCAGTCCTGAGTAATTCTTCTTTTAGAACTGTTTGTTTTAATAGCTGCATTCTAACTGCAAAGATTTTTTAGCCTGATGATGACTTATGACAGTTTAACATGGGTGAAAGTGTTTGCTTTTGTAGATTTTTGTAGTTCTTGCTGAATATTGGTTTTATGTATAGTGCTTAATTATATACCTAGATTGAGTCTGAATTTTCATTCAAATCTGAGTACATAAAAAAATTAACAGAAATTATATCAGTTTCTGTTACAAGCATTATGAATATTTTCATTTTTGAACTCAGCTGAATTCTGCCACGTAAAACTGGGTATACTCGAATTAAAATCACTAAGAAAACCTAAAATTTAGCAATTTTTTAATAAGTGCTAATTTTTTTGTTCATGTTGAATGGGCATCATTAGGCAAACTAATCCCCCAGCTGCTGAAACAACTGGGGATTGCCTTACATGTGAGAAGAGGAGAGGTGATGTAAGAAGAGAGAAAGGGGAGGGAAAGGATAGTAAGATTTATAATTTGAAGAAAGATTTTCATGCTGTGGGTAAGCAGTCAACATTGCAAAAATTAATAGTGGTGTTATTGGAAGGCATTATATTCTCAAACATCTTGAGCAGGTGGAAATATATAAGACCATCTGCAATAACACTGCTATTGATTTTTGCAATGTTGGCTCCTTCCCCATAGCATGGAAATCTTTTTTCAAACTATAAGAGTGCAATTATGCAGACCTGAGCAAGCAAAATTTCCAAGCGAGTGAGAATATGTGGCAAGAAGAGGTGAGACGCAATAAATATCAAACCCTGTAAGATATGTGTGAGAACTAGGAATATCGCCCTTGAGATCACTCTCAACAGCGATATTCCTCACTTCTCACTTGTGCATGGTTTCCTTTGAGAGAACTATATCGTTTGCAACTTCTTGCTCACTACTAAATTTGCATCTGCATAGTTGCACCCTAAATCTTACTTTCCTTTCTCAGGTCCTATCCATTAAACAATTCCCAGTTTCAGCAGCTGGGGGATTAGTTTACTTGAAGATGTCCATTCAACATGGGCAAAAACATTAGCACTTATTAAAAAAGTGCTGAAGGTCCACTTTCTGAACATAAACATTAGAGTGGAAGATCCACTATCCACATGTTGGTATACCGCAAATTATGTGCAGCCTCGACATACATACCTGTGGGCTCATGCGACCCATTCTCATACAAGGCTGCTGCATTTAACGCTCTGGTTAAGAGGGCATTTTCCCATTCATCCACCTCACAAGCCCTAGCCACTGAGTTAGTTCACGTTAAAAAAATAGCAACCAGGCATGGGTACCCTACTCTGACACACTGTTTGATTAAGCAACATTACCGCTTACAATGCACACCCACTATGCATGCAGGGACCAGCACTGACCCAGGCGATCAAACACATGTCCTGATCACATTTAACCCATATATTAAAGCGGTGTACACCAAAATCACTAACAAAAAAGAAGTCACGTTATTGTGTTTGAATAAAGCAAAATTAAATTAAAACACGGTTTCATCAGAATCAAAACTAAATAAAGTGATGGATAATCTGCCAAGTATTTAAAAGAAGTCATGTTATTGTATCTGAATAAAGCAAAAANTTTAAGGTATATATAGTAAATAAATTTATCATTTCAATTAAATTTTAAACTGTTAATTTAAAAAATTAAATTGTATATATTGGTAAAAGAAGTCTTAATTGTGTCTAGTTACTCATGCATTATATCATCAAACATAAAGAACATTTAACAAATTATTTAGAAGTTCAATAAGTCATTTATTAGTGATTTATTATTTTCATTAATTGTTTATTATGTTTGCTCACATAATGAGTGTGCCTATCTGAATGGACTTCATCTATTATATTGTTTCTATCACTTTGAAGCTGTTTATAATAAAAGAAATAATAAATTATATATTGTATCTTTTGTTATATTTATCTCATTATATTATGCCAACAGTTTTAAGTGTTGGCATAATAATATTTGTAAATTAATTGTATTGTAAAGAAAATACAAGGTCTTACAAAAAGAATGCTACCATTTTAAAATAAGATAATTACATTAGTTAGTATCTGAGAAGTATGCAATATACATCAATTAATACAGTAACTTCCAAGTTTCATCTCTCTGCATTCAAATGTCTTATGTCTGCTACTTCAAAGCACTGTAACAAAAATGGCAACTTCCCATAGAAAAAGCATTTTGTGTTCTGAAGTTCACAAAGTCAGAATCACTCATCATTGTGCAACATGAGTAATCTGCAGGAGCTATAGAATTGTGCCTGCTGTGGAAGGAATGACAATAGATATGCTGTAGTGAGCATAAGAATAATTTGAGTATTGGTCAGATGTATGTTGTGTGACACAAGGTATATGGATTGAGAAATTGTAATGGATAAATGTGAAACTTAGACAGTTTTCCAATATTTTAAAGTACATTGCAATGTTCTCAGATAATAATTAACATAATTACAATAATTTAAAATGGTAGCATTCTTTTTAGAAGATCCTATATGTATCATTTGAAGTTAAAATTTGAAATGCATGTGATTTATTGTTAATAGGGTAAGTTTTTTATCTAATTAACCAAAAATTATATAAAATTTTATGTTTGTTTATAAAATATGTTCATAAATAAATAAATAAAATAAAATGATTGAATTGACACCTTTTTTTTATTTTTTTAAGTATTCTTAGTGCTGTGACAGTATTAATATCTTACCTGATAGGATGTCTAGGTGTTACTTTTATTTTATGGTAAGGATATATTAATAGTTATTATGATACATACATTTTCTGTTTATTTAAAACTGTATTCAATATTTATTTTTGATTAGGTTAAGGGAGAGGAAATTACCAGATATTTTCTTTCTACCAAAAAAATCTAAGGCAAGAGTAATTTTAATATATGATGATTTATAATCTGAGTTTCAATTAAAAATTTATGAACTTTTTTATTTTGTTTTAAACAGCAACTAGTCAATGTATTTAATATTCCACAGCAATGTACAGTATGTGGAAATATGAAATGCAAACGTCACAGATCTGATCTGAATGTATATGTACTTAAACCATGGACAGATCTAATGATTCCTGAAAGTATAAATGAAGCATTAGAAGAGGTAATCAAAGAATTTTTTACAATTTAAAAATTAAAAATTAAAATGTGTGTGCATAATTCATTATTTCTAAATTATTCAACTGAATGTAAATGTAAATGCAATTAAAAACATTAAAACTGGAAATAAACTTTGAAGATGAACAGAAACAAAGTTCAAAAGCACTTATTTAAAAATTTTATAAGTGAATCTCCATTAAGTAGTGAATTTTATAAGTGAATCTCCAAATGCAAATAATGAAAACAAGTGGATAGATATTCTTAAATCAATATGAACACCATATATATCTAGCAAAATAACATTTTACTAACATTCAACTCAAGTGTTCTGCAAATGTTTGTTCTTATAATGTTTGATAGTTGGCTAATATGTTATGTTATGGCTTGAAGATGGCCAATGAATTTGGCCAAAAACATTAGCATTAAAGTGTTTACTAGATATGTAAGGTGTGATATTGTTTTAAGGATATAAATGCTTTGGTTACGCTAAGTATTAAAAAATATTCTTTGGATATCTTTACTAAATGTTTATTGATTATTACATCTAAAAACAGAGCTTTGGTATGAAAAATTTCTAATAATTTGAAGTAGAATTCCTTATTTGATAATTTTTTTTGATTAGTATATAATTTGATTGTTTACTATTTTTTAATTTTTTCTCCAGTTGAAATTTAAAACTATACGGTTTAAAAAATATGTTTATATAATACAATAGGTTTTGAAATAACTACTCTGTTTTACATGTACAGTCAGCAAGTGTGTGATAACAAAGCTTTCACTTTTTACAGAAAAATTAAGTAGGTGACACACTAAATATAATCTATTTGATCCCAGACTTGTTTCATTTGACTCATTAATTAATAATTACTGATAGCTTCCATAACAAATAACAATATAAGTAAGTAAAAAAATGATGATCAAAACTAAGGATCTAAAACAAAAAAAGTTATAAAGTAGAAAGGAGAAAATTAGCATGTAAGTTAAATTAATTTTTATTAACAATAACGATGTTTGATTGATCGTTATATTTGATTTGTATATTTTCAAATCTTAAAATCTCTACATTGTTGTCTTGAATATTTTGCAATACAAATAATTACCATAATTATTTTATTGGTATAAAATTAAAGTTGTCATTTTTAGAGATTCAGTTACCAATTTTGTCACTAGCTTATTAAATTTAATTATCATTTTCCAGAAACAAAGTAATGACTTGTCATTAGAGAGATTGTGGCTGAAGTTTTCATCTCTAAAACATCAACATCGAATGTGGAACGCCACTTGAAAGATAGTGATGTTCGATGTTCACGTTTTAGAGATGAAAATTTCGATCACAACCTCACTATTATATCTAGGAATCCTACTATGGGATGTTGTTCAATAGGTTTTCATGGAAAGCATATTTTTCATGATGACAAATTGAACTAACTCACGTATCTATGAAACTTTAATTTATGATTGATAAATTGGATTATGTAGAATATTAAGTGTTCTACTATGGGTGATTACTTCTGAAGCTCTGTAAACCCAGAGACTATTTCAGTCACGTGCTCTACTGATCCCGTGACTATAGCTGTGGTACTGTACATTGTCATACGCATGCAGCTATATCCCGATCTTCACTGAATGAGCCCAAATATAGGAACAGAGCTGTGAAAATGTATTAGGGAACCCTGAAAAGCTTTTTTTTTTATGTGTTTTTTTTTTTTAATTTTATATTCGTGATTATAAATTATAGTTTGCTTTGCCTTCTAAGAGGAATGTCATTCTGACAGCTGCAAACCCATAATATGTTTTCACTTGATTGCTCAAATGTGGAAAGTTAGTGACATTGGTTTTTTGTTTTTGCTGTTTACCTGTTTATACAATTGCTTTATTTCCTACTGATGCACAGAGTGAAGAATCTCTAAAACATCTTTTTATTTAGTTGATAATTAGAATTAATGGATCAAAATTTATAACCATTTGTTTTGCTCCTATTATTTTAAAGTCTTTCTATTGATAATTTTTACTTTCCTGGCTGTTATAACAGAAGGAAAGTTTGGCAATCTGGCAAAAAATGATTTTTACATTTTTGGACTTAGGACACCTTGAAATGTTGAGAAACGCAAAAAAATTCGGGCATCATTTCTATATTATGGATGTGTGTGTGTGTGCACGTACCCACACAATTTTGTTCACCCTGTTTGAAGCTTAATAACTCCTGTGATTTTTGTCAAAAATTTCTGAAATTTTGCAGGGAGGTTTGTTTATTATGGAAATTGATGCTATTAAATTTTGGTGGTTAAAAGTCAAGAGGGTGGGAATATTATGGGGTCGTGTATCTCCAGTAGGGTTGAACTTATTGACAATTTTACTTGTTATTAGCATTTACAATTTATTTATAAAACCCATCCCTACCCTCAAAATTAAGCATTTTTCCATTTTTCAATAATTAAAAATGTAAATAGTTTTTTAATGAAATATCATAACAAATGGTGCCACCAAAATTTTAAATTTTGCCGTGAAAGTTGAAGTTGAGCAACTTGTTGCTAGTTTATTTTATATTTTGATTAAATAATTGTAAATAATATACAAATTAATCTTGTTTACAAAAAACTGTTGCATGTTACAAAAATACATGGGGTGTGTCGTGAATTGATGCAAAACTGTAGAATTGGTCTGCCAAAAGTGATGGAGGATAGTGCTCCTATTATTAAAGTGGAAGTTCATTTCCATCTTTAAGCTAAATCGATTATCTTCGTAATTTTTCATTTATTTCCAACTGAATAAAAGTAAAATATTTACCGTTATCCAGTTGAATACATATGATACGAAGTTCCATTTTAATGTGTAAGTCAATATTTACATATACAGTATAATTAATGTAAAAATTTTGAAGAGAGAACATAAGTANTAGAAATAAATTATATTTTATTTAAATCAACTTTTTTGTACCTTATAAATTATCTAAAATATATAAATTTTAATTATACCATATGTATTTTATGAAGTTATAAAATGTTTTGTTACTAAATAGATAACATCCAAATTATAAAGCACATCTATCCAAAGTATGCTATTTAAAAAACAGAAAAAATTGTTTCAGTAACTTCAAGGGTAGATCAATCAACACGTTATAAAATCATATTAGTTTAATTCCTGTCCAGTTAGACATTTTTTTCCTCTTCATCTAGTTTTTCTTTCACTAGATAAATGATTGATGCACTAAATTCATTTAACATTACAGATGTAAAATTACATTTTATATAAGTGTTTTCTTTACAAGTGGACATTTTTCTGCAAGTTTTTCATAAAAATAAACAGAATTTTACATTAATTTTGTTATTATAGTTAGGAATTTAAGATTATAATAATACATTCTACATCTATATAAGATAATAATAATAATAATATAGGCACACACTGTGTACATTTATTTTTTTTAATACAAGGAACAAATATATTGCAAATTACGATAGGTTTATACTTTAAAACAAAAGTAATTTTTTCATTAATGTGTAAATTTTCAGTCTAATAAAAAATAAGAATGTTTTTACAGTAGAGCATCGATTATCCAAAACAATTCAGGCTGGAGTTGTTCAGATTTTTTGGATAACTGATCATTTATGAAAAAATATATTAAACACTAAAGTGTACTGTATATATTTTGTATCACATGTCTTACAAATAATGTTCCTTCTAAGCTGCATGGTTGTACGGCCATGCATTGCTCAAATTGTTGTCGCACACAAGAATTTATGTGCCGTGCAGGCGAATATGCACACTGATTTGAACTGTTATGTACTGATTTCTCACTCTGTCTGCAACATGATTATTGATACATATATTTTGATTAAATACATTAAATCATTAACAAAAGATAATATTTTGTATGGAAGTATGTTTCAAAATGAAGTTTAATCTTTACTTTATAATTAATTATTTTAGTTTTTAGAGGAAAAAAATAAGATTGTCTATGTATCTGCTCAGCAAAAGTTTTTTGCTCAGAGAAGTATATCTAAAAAAAATTTAGAGGGAACATTGCTTACAAATACATATCTTATATAAAATAGTACATTAAAGTAGGCCTACAGTTTACGTTGGCTGGGAGGGGGAGAGTGCTGCAGCACCATAGCACTAGCGAAAATTTGGATTTGCCAACTGGAATGCTTTTGGTTAACTGATGTTTCAGTTGATCGGTATTCGGATAATCAATGCTCTACTTTGTAGTTTTTGTTAAAGAAAAGATCATTATTATTATTATTATTATTACTTTAGTAAATAATGATATACAAATGTTAAAACTATACAGTTAATAATTTTGTCAATAAAGAACAAATTTATTTTATTTAAAAATTCCTTTAGTGACCTCAAATGATGACAGTTAAAGTGAAAGTAAATTGCATACTTTGGCTTACAGAATTAAAGTCAATAACAGCTGTTAGAATAATATTATGATATGTTCTGTGGTACAGTACATATGCCATAACAGCTGTTATTATCATTAATTCTGCAAACCAAAACAAACAGCTTACTTTCTTTTCAGCTGTCATTGTTTTGAGTCATCATTAATAGATCTATAAATAAAATAATTCTATTATTATTAATAACTCTGCTTTTTGCGTCTACATTAACACTATTTAACATGTTCATTTTTTTCATACCAAACATTTTAAATAGTAAAAATAATTTCACATTAATAAGATTATCACATAAAAAATTTTCAAAAGTTAGGCATTCAAATTTTATTTACTGCATAGCTTTAATATTTGTAGATTTTTAGTTATCGAAGTATAAAACTGCACATAAATTTTAGGAACACTCTTTATATCTGTTATATATTACTTTATTTTATCTTTTGTGCCTAAATAATGAAAATGCAATGCAAGTTGGAATATTATGTCTAAATCCCAAGCAACAAATGCTAAATTTTTTGATAATGTTATAAGATTGTTCTGTTAAAGTAATTGCTTAATTAATTCATCCAATGATTTTATTAATTAAATCAGTGGTTTTCAACCTTTTTGGACTTACAGCACACTTGAACAATCAGGCAAAGTTTGTGTTTATTATTAAATATTCTAAGACTGACCAACAGATTAATCTTAGAGCACTCTCTAAAACCTTTTTCTGATAGCTGGCTGATACAAAGTTCTGAAATATAGTTGATAATACATAAAAATACACANCATTTCCATCTTTAAGCTAAATCGATTATCTTCGTAATTTTTCATTTATTTCCAACTGAATAAAAGTAAAATATTTACCGTTATCCAGTTGAATACATATGATACGAAGTTCCATTTTAATGTGTAAGTCAATATTTACATATACAGTATAATTAATGTAAAAATTTTGAAGAGAGAACATAAGTATTAAAAAAGATTTGAAGGTAATAATAGAAACTATATATATATATATTTTTTTATTTAGTTTAATTAAATGTTTATATTTATTTTATAATTAAATTAATTTATCTTCTCTACTTTTTAGCATCTTCACAAAAATCTGTCAACAGTAATTTCCATTCAATTAGAGCATAAATAATTTTAAAATACTTTATAGTATTTTAAATATAATAAATAGAAATATATTGTAACTGTTTAAAATATGTTTTGAATAATATTTAGAGAAAAATCAATGTTTTGGTGTTAACTAATAGTCTTTTTTAATAACAAACATATATGAAATGTCTTCCCTCAGGTAACATAAAAATAGAATAAAATACCCCTACCCCAGTGGTGTAGTGAACATAACTGGCACCCGGGGCATGACACTTTATTGGTGCCCCTCTCCTCCCTCCAGAAACAAATCTTGTTTGTCTTGGAGACCATTTGGCACCCCTCTGAGAGTGATGCCCGGGGCATGATAGACCCCCTTGCCCCCTCGCTACACTAGTGCTTCACCTTCTACTTTTTGTATTGTTATATCTTTAACCATTATGATTTTATCATTTTTATGTAAAGGTTGTTGCTTGTGTTTGCATAGCATATGTAAAACATGGTAAAAAAAGGATACCCGTTGTCCAGAATTCATCTTGTAAGTTAAATGTGAATGGGATTGGACTTCATGCCAATCAATAGATAAGCAAGAAGCGAGAAAATTATCATCCAGGCATTAAATTACGTATAAATATCACTATAAATTACACTAGTGCTTTTGACGAAACTATTCAGTCATATTAAATGTTTAATATGACTGAATATTTTTTTAAAAAAACTGTTATTTTCATCCTATTTTATGTTACTTGAGAAAGACATTATGTATATGTTGAAAACATTTGTTATTAATTAAAAAAGACTGTTAGTTAACACAAAAATAATTGATTTTTCTCTAAATATTAAGCTTATCGTGTTGTATATCAATTCTACACTGCATCTGTTTTGAATTTTTAAAAAGAAACATTGTTATGAAATGCAATGCTTTAGTGGATATTTTCAGTTTAAATATAGATAGCTTGTTTTAAGAAAATGTTTATTCTTGTTCCAATTATATTTATTGCAATTTTTTTTACTGCTACATGAGTAATTGAAATAAATAATTAATGAGAAGTATTTTTATTTTTAGCTACACCTTAGAATTTTCTAAATGATTAATCAAATATAAAGCTAACGATTTTGTCAGAAATGTTGACTTTATTATTAAAATATTAAATAACACCAAGTTCTATATTGTTTTATTTTTTCAAACTATTAAATGAAATATTCAAGAAATGTTTTTAGTATTTTTATTTTTAATTATTGCACTGTTATTATTTTAGTACCTTCAATGATTATAGTCCTCGTTAAAATCTGTTATATTGATGTTCAATGTCGGATTTTAACATGTACTATAATAAATAAATAAATAAATAAAAGAACTTAACATATTCTTTTAAAGTATCTTCTAATGCAAATTACATTATTAATTGATTGATATCTATACCTGAAATTTCATTAAATATCTACAGTAAGAAAATATATAAATTAAAATCATAACGTACACCCTTCTTTTAACCTGAAATAAATTGTAACATTTGTTAACACTGCAAAAAATTTAAATGAAATGCTAAAAACTACTTTACTGTAGCACAAAATAAAGTAAATACTAAGTGCTTTTGGACATCTTTGGCCTATCATTAGGGGATAATGCCACATTATAATCAAATTGTAGAGTCAAAACAAAAAAATATTTTGATTATTATTTCATGGTTTTTGTTGTTATATATTAATTTGTATCAATGTTTAATTTAAAGATAAAATTTGGATTATCGACTATTTTTAGAAGGTGCTTTACCATGAATTGGAGTTAGTACTTACTCTGAAAACACTTGGGAATTAGTATTCACTTTATTTTGTGTTTCACTAAAGCACTTTTTAGTGTTTTAAAACATATATTTTAAATAATTCTAAAAAGTTCTTTGCCAGATAAAAAAAAAATATAGAAAGAAACACATCATTTTATATTTTAGTGATCATAAAATCAATATGTTTCCAAAAAAACTTGCTAGGAAATATAATTTAGAATGATTTAGAATAGTAATTTATTGATATATATATATAGGAAACATCTGTACTTTCAGAATACCTGACATCAGTTTAGAATACTTAAATAGTTAACTTTTGTTATTTTCCTAGGTAATATTTTTAGATTGCTTTTAAAATTAAATTGAAGAGAAAATAATTAAAAAAGGAAAATTTTTAATGCAAAGTTTTGTACATTGAATTAAAAATATACTTAATAAAATATTAAACTTTAATACAACTTTATTTGAAAGTTACAAAATTTTTTCCTTTTGTAAATTATTGATATTTGTCTATTATTTGGTTTAGCAAGCAGTTTAATAATGATTAATTGAAGATACTTCCACACAATACATTAGAACCAGTTAAATTATTTAAAATATTCTGAAATATTTGTACAAATCTCAACAGTTTAAATATACAAAAGTCTATTATTTACTATACATATATATACATACATATGAAAATTTAAAAAAGTAATTTCACTTTATCATCTAAAATATTGTCAAACAATTAATGAATGCCTAATATTAATATTTGTTGATTATTATATAATAAGAACATTTAATATCTATAGTATATTTATATTTAAATTAGTTTAGTAATTTAATTTGCATTATAAGATGAAAGCATAATATAAATTTGAAATATATATATATATATATATTTTAAGGTATATATAGTAAATAAATTTATCATTTCAATTAAATTTTAAACTGTTAATTTAAAAAATTAAATTGTATATATTGGTAAAAGAAGTCTTAATTGTGTCTAGTTACTCATGCATTATATCATCAAACATAAAGAACATTTAACAAATTATTTAGAAGTTCAATAAGTCATTTATTAGTGATTTATTATTTTCATTAATTGTTTATTATGTTTGCTCACATAATGAGTGTGCCTATCTGAATGGACTTCATCTATTATATTGTTTCTATCACTTTGAAGCTGTTTATAATAAAAGAAATAATAAATTATATATTGTATCTTTTGTTATATTTATCTCATTATATTATGCCAACAGTTTTAAGTGTTGGCATAATAATATTTGTAAATTAATTGTATTGTAAAGAAAATACAAGGTCTTACAAAAAGAATGCTACCATTTTAAAATAAGATAATTACATTAGTTAGTATCTGAGAAGTATGCAATATACATCAATTAATACAGTAACTTCCAAGTTTCATCTCTCTGCATTCAAATGTCTTATGTCTGCTACTTCAAAGCACTGTAACAAAAATGGCAACTTCCCATAGAAAAAGCATTTTGTGTTCTGAAGTTCACAAAGTCAGAATCACTCATCATTGTGCAACATGAGTAATCTGCAGGAGCTATAGAATTGTGCCTGCTGTGGAAGGAATGACAATAGATATGCTGTAGTGAGCATAAGAATAATTTGAGTATTGGTCAGATGTATGTTGTGTGACACAAGGTATATGGATTGAGAAATTGTAATGGATAAATGTGAAACTTAGACAGTTTTCCAATATTTTAAAGTACATTGCAATGTTCTCAGATAATAATTAACATAATTACAATAATTTAAAATGGTAGCATTCTTTTTAGAAGATCCTATATGTATCATTTGAAGTTAAAATTTGAAATGCATGTGATTTATTGTTAATAGGGTAAGTTTTTTATCTAATTAACCAAAAATTATATAAAATTTTATGTTTGTTTATAAAATATGTTCATAAATAAATAAATAAAATAAAATGATTGAATTGACACCTTTTTTTTATTTTTTTAAGTATTCTTAGTGCTGTGACAGTATTAATATCTTACCTGATAGGATGTCTAGGTGTTACTTTTATTTTATGGTAAGGATATATTAATAGTTATTATGATACATACATTTTCTGTTTATTTAAAACTGTATTCAATATTTATTTTTGATTAGGTTAAGGGAGAGGAAATTACCAGATATTTTCTTTCTACCAAAAAAATCTAAGGCAAGAGTAATTTTAATATATGATGATTTATAATCTGAGTTTCAATTAAAAATTTATGAACTTTTTTATTTTGTTTTAAACAGCAACTAGTCAATGTATTTAATATTCCACAGCAATGTACAGTATGTGGAAATATGAAATGCAAACGTCACAGATCTGATCTGAATGTATATGTACTTAAACCATGGACAGATCTAATGATTCCTGAAAGTATAAATGAAGCATTAGAAGAGGTAATCAAAGAATTTTTTACAATTTAAAAATTAATATTTTAAATTAAAATACAAAAATTTAGTTTCCAACAGTGAAATTTGAAAAAGTAATTATTACTAATTAATTACATTTTATCCATCTTCAGATACTAACTAATTAATGATTTTAATATAGTTTTGTTTTCATTACTGTAATTAAATGATAGTTCATAATTAATCAAAAGGTTTCAAAATATTTTTGAGTTAAATCAATTAAACTTTCCAAGATATATTTATTTTATGGTAAATGACAGATAATTTGGAATCATATTTTCTCATCAAGAATGACTATCATTTCATTTTCATATTTATTAATGGTAATTATAGAACTCCAATACAGAAAATTAATATTAAACATTATTTTGTTCATTTGTAGTTTTAATCTGTTTATTATTTTAGAAAATTTATCTTATGCACTACATTTTTGCCATTTTATTACTTTTTTCACATTATTCACAAAGTACTACTTTAATTTAAAATTACAATAACTTCAAAAATAGAATGATTTAGTGATTTAGGCCTATCTATATTACTGAATATTAAGTTAATTTTTTACATGTATATATAAAGATGCATGAATTGAATAATTTAGTATAAAAATTAAAAATAGTGATTTAACAATTAAAAAATGAAAAATTAAAAAGCAAAATTGAAATTAATAGAATCTGAAAAATGAAGTAAAGGTGTGATGTTAAAAATTTAGAATAAGAATAAACAGTTAAAAGCACTGAAGTAAAATTAAAACTAAATAAAAGAAAAAATTTTTCTCTTTTATACCAATGACTGTCTAAAAAAGTTTTTTTTTTTTTTTGGAAGAACATTCTGAATCACTTTTATGATTTATATCTGTGACAATATGACAATAGTATGTAATATTATTATACAAATAATTATAGAAATAAATTATATTTTATTTAAATCAACTTTTTTGTACCTTATAAATTATCTAAAATATATAAATTTTAATTATACCATATGTATTTTATGAAGTTATAAAATGTTTTGTTACTAAATAGATAACATCCAAATTATAAAGCACATCTATCCAAAGTATGCTATTTAAAAAACAGAAAAAATTGTTTCAGTAACTTCAAGGGTAGATCAATCAACACGTTATAAAATCATATTAGTTTAATTCCTGTCCAGTTAGACATTTTTTTCCTCTTCATCTAGTTTTTCTTTCACTAGATAAATGATTGATGCACTAAATTCATTTAACATTACAGATGTAAAATTACATTTTATATAAGTGTTTTCTTTACAAGTGGACATTTTTCTGCAAGTTTTTCATAAAAATAAACAGAATTTTACATTAATTTTGTTATTATAGTTAGGAATTTAAGATTATAATAATACATTCTACATCTATATAAGATAATAATAATAATAATATAGGCACACACTGTGTACATTTATTTTTTTTAATACAAGGAACAAATATATTGCAAATTACGATAGGTTTATACTTTAAAACAAAAGTAATTTTTTCATTAATGTGTAAATTTTCAGTCTAATAAAAAATAAGAATGTTTTTACAGTAGAGCATCGATTATCCAAAACAATTCAGGCTGGAGTTGTTCAGATTTTTTGGATAACTGATCATTTATGAAAAAATATATTAAACACTAAAGTGTACTGTATATATTTTGTATCACATGTCTTACAAATAATGTTCCTTCTAAGCTGCATGGTTGTACGGCCATGCATTGCTCAAATTGTTGTCGCACACAAGAATTTATGTGCCGTGCAGGCGAATATGCACACTGATTTGAACTGTTATGTACTGATTTCTCACTCTGTCTGCAACATGATTATTGATACATATATTTTGATTAAATACATTAAATCATTAACAAAAGATAATATTTTGTATGGAAGTATGTTTCAAAATGAAGTTTAATCTTTACTTTATAATTAATTATTTTAGTTTTTAGAGGAAAAAAATAAGATTGTCTATGTATCTGCTCAGCAAAAGTTTTTTGCTCAGAGAAGTATATCTAAAAAAAATTTAGAGGGAACATTGCTTACAAATACATATCTTATATAAAATAGTACATTAAAGTAGGCCTACAGTTTACGTTGGCTGGGAGGGGGAGAGTGCTGCAGCACCATAGCACTAGCGAAAATTTGGATTTGCCAACTGGAATGCTTTTGGTTAACTGATGTTTCAGTTGATCGGTATTCGGATAATCAATGCTCTACTTTGTAGTTTTTGTTAAAGAAAAGATCATTATTATTATTATTATTATTACTTTAGTAAATAATGATATACAAATGTTAAAACTATACAGTTAATAATTTTGTCAATAAAGAACAAATTTATTTTATTTAAAAATTCCTTTAGTGACCTCAAATGATGACAGTTAAAGTGAAAGTAAATTGCATACTTTGGCTTACAGAATTAAAGTCAATAACAGCTGTTAGAATAATATTATGATATGTTCTGTGGTACAGTACATATGCCATAACAGCTGTTATTATCATTAATTCTGCAAACCAAAACAAACAGCTTACTTTCTTTTCAGCTGTCATTGTTTTGAGTCATCATTAATAGATCTATAAATAAAATAATTCTATTATTATTAATAACTCTGCTTTTTGCGTCTACATTAACACTATTTAACATGTTCATTTTTTTCATACCAAACATTTTAAATAGTAAAAATAATTTCACATTAATAAGATTATCACATAAAAAATTTTCAAAAGTTAGGCATTCAAATTTTATTTACTGCATAGCTTTAATATTTGTAGATTTTTAGTTATCGAAGTATAAAACTGCACATAAATTTTAGGAACACTCTTTATATCTGTTATATATTACTTTATTTTATCTTTTGTGCCTAAATAATGAAAATGCAATGCAAGTTGGAATATTATGTCTAAATCCCAAGCAACAAATGCTAAATTTTTTGATAATGTTATAAGATTGTTCTGTTAAAGTAATTGCTTAATTAATTCATCCAATGATTTTATTAATTAAATCAGTGGTTTTCAACCTTTTTGGACTTACAGCACACTTGAACAATCAGGCAAAGTTTGTGTTTATTATTAAATATTCTAAGACTGACCAACAGATTAATCTTAGAGCACTCTCTAAAACCTTTTTCTGATAGCTGGCTGATACAAAGTTCTGAAATATAGTTGATAATACATAAAAATACACAATTTTTTTATAAATTTAAAAATTTATTGTTTTAATTTTTTAATTCATGTCACAGCAAACTGATTGAGAACTACTGAATTAAACTGATGACCACATGATTACTATCAATATCTTTTTATTGTAGGAAAAGTCATTGAATATATTTTAAAAAGCATAATAATTTATCAAATATGTTAATAAAATAAAATAATATTCTAAGTGAATGTTATGTTTTAAAACCATATCTTTGTATTTGTAGATTCTTTCATTAACTTTAAAAGAACATATCTATTCATGGTACAAGTAAGAAATTTACTTTGTTTTAAATTAATTCAGAAAAATAAAAAATAATTTTAATTAACATTTTTAATCACTTCATATTGCTATTTTTAAAAATATTTTAGATCAATTAGTTCTGATGAATATTTTGTTCAGGAATTAAGGGTATCTTTAAGATTTCTTATATCTTCATTGTTAATAAGAATTTTACAGGTAATTCTATTTAACTTTTGTTTAGATTTATTATTTTTATAACCTATATATTATTAAAAATGTTATATTAAATACAGGTTGACAATGTAGATCTAATAACTGAAAAAATAGCAAATGCTGTATTGAAACATGTAGATTGTTATTTATATGTGAAAGACCAAAGTAAACCCCATGAACTTCTACTACAAGAGAAAGTATTAAATTATTACGGGTCCAATTTGCACATTGCACTTCAAAACAGAAAAACCGAGGTGCATTATTTAAGGAATCTGATTGAATTGCTACTGCCATATTGTTTGCCAAAGAAGTTCCTTTTTTGTAGGTAAGTTTTTCTTGTTTTTTTTAAGCATTTACTGCAATTTATTATTGAATACATTATTTCTGATTATATATAATTTATTCTTTACTAGAAGTTCATTATCCCTAGTAAGAGAAATATTTTGTACATTGGTTTTATTACCTGTGATGGATATCATTGCTGATCCAGTGAGTTTTATTGGATTATATTTATATTTGAAAATTTATATTATTACTATTTTAACGATTTATTATAATTACAATTATATAATTTTAAGTTTAAAACATACTTATTTCAAATTTCTAATAATATTGGGTTGTTCGGAAAGTAAGTTCGGTTTTTTCTGTGAAAAAAACCACAATATTTTTATAATAAATAAATATTGTATTGAATTATATATCAACTATTTTGATCAAATACCTGTTGTCATCGTTTCTGGTAGTAGCATGATTTCACATTCATAAAAGTTTTTATCATTGCTTACAAAAAATTGATCCAAGTGATTTTTGACATTGTCATTTCAAATAAATGTCTTACAGTTAAAAAAAAATTGTATAGACCGGAACAAGTAATAATCCGAGTGTGCTCGATCTGGCGAATATGGTTGGTGTGATAGCACATCCCATCTATGTTATAACAGTT